ATAAAAAAATTATTTGTTGATGAGAGAGAGAGAGAGACAGACAGACAGACATTGATGTTCCACTTATTTATGCATTCATTGGTTGATTCTTGTAAATGCCCTGACCAGGGATCAAACCTGCAACCGTGGCATATCGGAACAACACTCTAACCAACTGAGCTACCCGGCCAGGGCCTTGGTTTTTATATTATCGTACACATAGCCAAATTTCCTATTTGTGGCCATATTTAACAAGGTGTGATGCAGATCAACAAAAAGTCTGTGGTGTGTTTCATGAAATCAACGAATACTTTACATTCCGTTTTGGAGAGGCAGGATAGCATGGTAGTTAAGACTTCAGAGTCTGTGACCAGACTGCCTGGGGACAAATCCTGGCTCTGCTCTCCACCAAGTATGTGATTGGAGGCCAGTTCTCTAGCTTCTTTATACCAAGGTTCCTCATTTGGAAGGGGGAATACTAACTATATCTACCATAGTGGGTACTGGGTGATAGGGTGGGTGAAAGTAGGTTTATAGGAGTTCGGATGGAAACAGACATGCAGGTTATGATTATCACAATCGTTTTATTAACTCAGAAGGATGTATATTTCATATACACTCACAGCTGTAAACCTACTTTTGCCACCTCTGTCATAAGGCACTTAGATATTGCCTGGCACAGAGTGAGGGCGATACCTATAATCAGAGATGTCATCTGGTTTCAAAAGTGTTGTACATTCCACTCCAACGGTTCTATCCCTGGTAGTTCATTTAAATGTGTCTCACCCACTTCTGACTTCCACTGAGTGTCATATTGTAGAACAAATATGCTACTGCCAAGGAAGTTTGAGTGGGAAGTCTGTGTAGAGAGCTGCGTGACCTGCAACAGCCAGTTGGAAGCTGGTAGCACATTATCATTAGCCATAGTAAATTCTTGGGTACCGGAGACTAATAGAACCTGGAAGTATTTTGATTGAAATTCTACTTGAAGGATTGGATCATTCTATTTTTCTAGGCTTCTTTGGGAAAATACAGGCACATACTATGTTTCGATGTCCAAGATAAGACAAAAAAATTTGTGATTTACAAAGCAAGAAATTATAGTTGGTAGGTAAGAGTAGCATTTCCCCCTTTCTGCTTTGGCATCACTAGTTCACTACAAATAAGTAACATGGTGTAGTTCATGGGAAGAACAT